TTGTTGTGTTGTGTTGGTGGCGGTGATGAGCTGCTGTGGTGGAGGTGGTGGTGGCTGTGGTGATGGCGGTTGTGTGGTGGCTTAGTGGTGGCGGTTGTAGTTTGAGGTGGTGGTGGTGGTATTGGTGGTGGCGGTGGTGGTGGTGGCGTGGTGGTTTGTGGTGGTGGTGGTGGGCTGTAGTGTTGGTTTTCGGTGGTGGAGGTGGTGTAGTGGTGGTTTGTGGTGATGGTGGTGGTTGTGGTGGTGGTGGGTTGTGGTGGTTGTGATGGTGGTGGCGGTGGTGGTGGTGGTGTTGTTGCTTGTGGTGGTGGTGGTGGTGGTGTGCCCTTCGGTTCTTCCCGCCACCGTGATTTGGCTTGGGGTCAGAGTTCTAATGGATGATGCCTCTTGAGATATCGTCAGAAGGGTTTCGGGGGCGTCTGAGGAGCATGTGTGAAGCCTCGTGGACCTTTTTAAGGGCCTCTCGGTGGCTTCTGGGGGGCGAGGGTTCGATATGGCGATTTGTGTGTTCCCTCTGCGACCTCTGGGTCCTCTCTGGTCATCGTCGCTGCGTCCCCGCCATCGGCGCTGCTGGCCGCCGCCAGCGCCAGCGCCGGCGCCGGCGTGTGGCGGGCGGGGAGGGAAGGAGGGGGTTTGGACCTCCCCCCCCCGGCTCCCCCTGGGCCCCCTCTGGTCATGGTCGCTGCGTCCCCGCCGTCGGCGCTGCTGGCGGCCGCCAGCGCCGCCGCCGGCGCCGGCGCCACAAGGGGGAGAGGGTTTGGACTTCCCTCCCCACCCCGTGGGAGAACGGGAGGGGGGTTCGGGATGAGGGGGGGCTAGGGGGGAGGGGCTTCCCCCGGGTTCTGATCGACGGCGCCAAGTGTTGGGGGGGGCCACCCCCCGGTTCGAAACGCGCCGCCGAATGTTCCCAAGGCAAGCGCCCGTGAAACGCGCTCTCTCGAAGGTCAATACCGACATTTGCTTGACATTCAAGACGAGCGAGTGCGCACAATGAGTCTTAAACGGTATCTTCGGCTACGCGATGGGAATCGTTTTTTGAAATAAAGAATGCGGCGCAAACTACGCGGTACGAGCTACGTGGTAGTAGCAGCGGTTGCAGCAGTGCCAAGAGCACAAGGCGGCCGCGAAGCGGCCACGGGTGGTGACCAGGCGAAAGCCCCAGGAACCCAGGCAGCGCACAGGATGGCCACGAGGCGGCCACGGGACACGATTGAGCGAAGAACGGTAGAATTCACCACAACACTCAGCAAGAGAAGTAAGGACCCCATCAGCAGTCAGTGCAAGCATTGTGTTGGGAATGAGGGCAGCACTCCTTTTTGGCGTGATGATTCATCATCTGTCGTAGGCGCCTTTTCGATCAGGATCAAGCCACGCACTCACCATTTTCTCTTCCGGTAAATGTAGATCAGACTGAGGGGGCCGGACGGTCGTTCATTGTCTTTGGATGCGTGGTGGAAGTAAGGATTCGTGGTGAGGATTATACTTGTTGCGTTGTTGTTGTTGCTGTTGCTGTTGCTGTTGCTGTTGCTGTTGCTGTTATTATGGTTGTTACTGCTGAAATTGTTGGTCCCCTCCTCCGGTGCACATTTTATTTGTTCAATTGAAGTGCCCCTCCCGGCGCTCGCACCCTGTTCTTTTATCAATGAAAATATTCGTCGTCAAACCGTGTTGTTGGCCCCTGGGTTACAACATCAACGGCTCTCGTTGGAGACTTCCTCACAATATAGCCAGGACCCCCGCTCCCGCCCGAGACTTCCTTGCATGTTATTCAGGAATCGCGCTCTTGCGTGGGATTTCCTTACAATTTATTTAGGAATCGTTTTTTCGGCGCTCTGGAGTCGCGCTCTCGCTGGAGACTCGCTTGCAATTTACTCAAGAATAGCGCCCTTGCCTTGGAATTTCCCGCAATTTACTCAAGCGCCGCGCTCCCGACATTCAGGCACCCAGGACTCGCACTCACGACTAGGACTCCCTCACGGATTACTGAGGAATCGGGATCTCGCTGCCCTTCGTGGCCCCATCGCTGCCCTTCGTGGACCATTGCAGCCCTTCGTGGCCCCCTCGCTGCCCTTCGTGGCCCCGTTGCAGCCCTTCGTGGCCCTTTCGCTGCCCGTCGTGGCCCCGTTGCAGCCCTTCGTGGCCCCCTTGCTTTGTTTCGAGGCCCCGTTGCAGCCCTTCGTGGCCCCCTCGCTGCCCTTCGTGGCCCCGTTGCAGCCTTTCGTGGCCCCCTCGCTTTGTTTCGTGGCCCCGTTGCAGCCCTTCGTGGCCCCCTTCGCCGGCCGTCGTGGCCCCGTTGCAGCACTTCGTGGCCCCGTTGCTGCCTTCAGTGGCCCCGTTGCAGCCCCATCGTGGCCCCTTTGCTGCCCTTCGTGGCCCCGTTGCAGCCCTTCGTGGCCCCCTCGCTGCCCTTCGCGGCCCCATATATGTATGTCCTTTGTGGCCCCCGCTCGTTCGCGCCCGTCGTGGCCCCATCTGCATGCCCTTCGTGGCCCCGCTGTCGCCCTTCGTGGCCCCCTCGCTGCCCTTCGTTGTCCTTTGTGGCCCCCGCTCGTTCGCGCCCGTCGTGGCCCCATGGGCACGCCTTTCGTGGCCCCGCTGTCGCCCTGTGTGGCCCCCTCGCTGTCCTACGTGGCCCAGTTGCTACCCTCAGTGGCCCCGCCGTTGCCGTCTGTGGCCCCGCATTATCTGCCCTTCGTGGCCCCCGCTCGTTCGCGCTCTTCGTGGCCCCATACGCATTCCTTTCGTGTCCCCACTGTCGCCCTTCGTGGCCTACTTCGTGCCCTTCGTGGCCCTGCTGTCGTTCTCTCTCTCGCTTTCGCTTCGTCGTCGTCGCCGTCGTCGTCGTCGACGTCGTCGACGTCGTGGTCGGTCCCCTGTCCGTCTCTCTTGGGGTCGGGTTGCCGCCGATCGGCGCTGCCGCTGGCCAGGCCGACGGTCCGCGGCCGCCCCGCCGCTTGCCGGGGCCCGGCCTGCAGGGAAGAAATGTATACCCCTGAAAGGGGTACGATCGAAGACGAAAAGGGCGGGTATCGAGGGTTTGGGAAATACGCATTCACAGACACTCGAGCAGATAAGAACGAACAGTCTTCAAATGATTGTTGTTGTTGGTGTTGCTGTTGTGTTTGGTGTTGGTGTTGGTGTTGCTGTTGCTGTTGTTGTTATTGTTGTTAGTGTAGTTGTTGTTGTGGTTGTGGTTGTGGTTGTGGTTGTTGTCGTTGCTGGTGTTGTTGATGTTGATGTTGTTGTTGTTGTTGTTGTTGTTGTTGATGTTGTTGCTGTTGTTGTTGAATACTCATGTCTAAAGAATAAGTATTACTGATCTCCGGAAACGGTTCCGCGCGCTCTCGCCTCGACGCCGGCTACAGTTTCTCTGAAAGCGAGGCTCCCGTTCGAGCGTTGGCTTGACCCTGAATGTGGGCCATTGAAAGTCCAGCTACGACAACAACGGCTCCCGCCCGATACTTCCTCACAATTTACCCCGAGACCCTGGCCAGAGAGGCTCCCGAACTCAGGAACGGCGCACTCGGTCGAGACTTCCTCGCAATTCAAAAAAATTGTGGAGGCCCAGTCACGACGACAAGGGCTCCTGCTCGATATTTCCTCACGATTTACTCCGAGAGCCCCTAGCCATGAAGGCCCCCGAACTCAGGAACGGCGCTCTCGCTCGAGACATTCCGGTAATTCAGGCAAGTTGGTGAACCCAGACACGGCGACAAGGGCTCCCGTTCGATATTTCTCCATCGGTATTCCGGGAGCCCCTGGCCAGAGAGGCCCCCGAATTCAGGAACGGCGTTCTCGCTCGAGACTTCTTCGCACTTCAGTCAGTGACCGACAAGAGAGAGATTCCCCAAAAAAGGAGGTGCAATCGAAGACGAAGTGGGCGGGTACCGAGGGTTAGGGTATACGGAACGCAAGATACGCGTGCCAGTAAGAGCGAACAGTTGTTCAATGATTGTTGTTGTTGGTGGTGGTGTTGTTGTGCTTGTTGTTGTTGCTGCTGCTGCTGCTGTTGCTGTTGCTGTTGTTGTTGCCGTTGTTGTTGTTGTTGTTGGTGTTGTTGTTGGTGTTGTTGGTGGTGGTGGTGTGATTGTTGTTGTTGCTGTTGTTGGTGGTGTTGTTGTTGTGTGTCGTCGTCTCCCCCGCGACCCACCCGCGACCCACCCCGTGACCCACCCGCGACCCACCCCGCGACCCACCCTGCGACCCACCCCGCGACCCAACAGCGACCCACCCGCGACCCAACAGCGACCCACCCCGAGACCCACCCGCGACCCACCCCCCGACCCACCCGCGACCCACCCCGCGACCCACCCGCGACCCACCCGCGACCCACCCCGCGACCCACCCGCGACCCACCCGCGACCCACCCGAGAACCAACCGCGACCCACCCCCCGACCCACCCGCAACCTTCCCGCGACCCACCCGCGACACAGCCGCGAGCCATTTGCGACCCGCCCGCGGCCTACCCACATATTGGTTCAACGAAAATATCGGCGTCTGCGGTGGGCTCGTTGTATAATGTGTGAAATTGTGGCGCCTGCGGCGGGCTTCTCCAGAGTCTCGCAGACTGCCGACGTCCCCCCCGCCCCCCCACTCTAATCCGCATCTGCGGGGTGCTACATACAAATATCATCGCGGGCAGAGGTCGTAGGCTTCGGATAGAAGGGGGAGGACTAGGAGGTGGATTTCATGCCTAGGTCATAAAATCTCCCAGATATCATACCCCTGCGTATTTGTCCAACACGCCCCCCGTCGTTCGCGCACACGCCTGGGGTCATGATGCGCTAACCCCCCTCTTGCTGGTCCCCCTCTCGAGCGCACCCGAAGGGAGGTCGGCTGCTTAGTAGCTGGTTCGACTTGCTGCGGCAGATTCACACCCCAATGGAGCAGGAGGCCGAAGAGCAAACTTGGACAAGGTCTTGGCCCCCCCGCCCGAAAAGCCTGGTCCGCCAGGCCTGGCCCCGCCTGAAAAAAGCCCTGCCTGGCCCGGCGCCTGCAGAATCGCCCGGCACCTGGTACTATTACAACAGCCAGACCGGCGAGACCTCCTGGGAGCCGCCGGCCGCGGCGCCGGCTGTGGCGGCGGCGCCACCGGCCGAACCTCCGTGGCCTTGGGTGCCAAGGGCAGTTGGAAACCACGCGGACGGTGAGATTCCGCCTCCTCCAGCCCTCCTCTTCCCTCCTCCTCCTCCTCCTCCTCCTCCTCTTCCTCCTCCTCCTCCTCCTCCTCCTCCTCCGTCTCCTCCTCCTCCACCTCCTCCCCCTCCCTCCTCCTCCCTCTCCTCCTCCTCCGCATCCTCCTCCTTCTCCTCCTCCTCCTCCTCCTCCTTGTCTCCTTCCTCCCCCTCCTCCACCTCCTCCTCCTCTCCTCCTCCTCCTCCTCCTCCTCCTCCTCTCCTCCTCCTCCTCCTCCTACTCCTCCTCCTCCTCCTTCTCCTCTCTCCTCCTCCTCCTCCTCCTCCTCCTCCTCCTCCTCCTCCTCCTCCTCCTACTCCTACCTTATATCCTTATTCCTTATTAGAATATACTCCTACTCCCCCCTCAGGCCGGCAGATAGGGGCGCATCCGGGTGGTCCCATCCTAACCTGTAAAAAACAATACAAAATCAACATTTTTCTTATTTTTTCCTCTCGACATGGACGTCCTGTCGTCCACGGCGATAATCCATTGCAAAAAATACCACAAAGAGCACACGCGCGCGTTCATGTCAGAATCCTACCGAACACCTTGTGTTTGCAAGCATTTCAACATAAAAACATCAAAAACCCAATGCTTTTTCACAAAAATTCTACAAATTTCCTGCCCGGGCTCTCTTGCTGAAATCATAGGAAAACCATAGGAATCTTAAGAATTCGGTCAAATCCAGCGATTTCACGTCATCGCGCGGTGCACTCGCGATGCTCTGTCATGCACCCAGGCCGCGAATCCTGTGCAAAAAATACCACAAAGAGCACACTCGCGCGTTCATGTCAGAATCCTACCGAACACCGTGTGTTTGCAAGCATTTCAACATAAAAACATCAAAAACCCAATGCTTTTTCACAAAAATGCTTTGGGGTGTCCTGTCAGACCGTCGGGCTTCCTCCGGCCACCTCTGGCTTCCTGCGGTGTACCGGGCCATTCTCGACTCGTCTGGCAATGCGTGCGCGGCATTCAACACGCGCTCGCCAGTTCCCGTCGGCAACCGCCATCGCGGCCGCATCAGCTGTACCAAACCGGCTGGCCGGTGTGACTTCGGCCCCCAGTTGTGCCAGCTTTGCTTCTTATGTTGTGGGAGGGCGGGTGGGACTGGGCATGCCATGCTTGACTCGCTCGAGCTGGCTAGCTTGACTCCTACTCCTACTCCTACTCCTACTCCTCCATGTCTGTTCCTTATAAATACCTTCTCCCCGTTGCACGCCGAGGCCAGTTTTCAGGGCGGGCCGGGCGTTTCGCCTGAGACTTCTTCACCATTTATGACTCTGTAGCTTAAAGTTGGCAACGGCTTCACAGATGGAGGGCGGGTTGTTTTCAAAATGTGGCTCTCGTTTTAGCGCGGCGCACATTCGTTTTCAACACTTGCAAGAGCTCCACGGATTGAGGGCGGGTTGTTTTCAAAATGTGGCTCTCGTTTTAGCGCGGCGCACATTCGTTTTCAACACTTGCAAGAGCTCCACGGATTGAGGGCGGGTGGTTTTCAAAATGTGGCTCTCGCCATAGCGCGGCGTACATTCGTTTTCAACACTTGCAAGAGCTTCACGGATTGAGGGCGGGTGGTTTTCAAAATGTGGCTCTCGCCATAGCGCGGCGCACATTCGTTGTTTAAGTTGGCCGAGTTTCACGGATTCAGGGCGGTTCCTTTTCAAAATGTGGTTCTCGCTTTAGCGCGGACACACTCGTTGTAAGAATGTGCAAGAGTTTCTCGGATTCCCATCATCATCGTGCCAGAAACGGTTGTTTGAAAGGATTCAGGATTCAGGATTACGCGGGTGCAACGATTATGTTGGTTCGCTGTGTTGAAGTCCCAGGAATGGTGTTCTGGCACGGTTCAGGATTGCCACGACGCAACAGTCAGGTTGATCCGTGGCGTTGGAATCCCGAGAACAATGCTTTGGCATGCTTCAGGGTCTTCAAACCGTTGTCTTCCAAAGAAGCAGTCCTTCAATGGCAATTAGCCGTTGCTGGGGTCTGTGAAGAGGGAGCTTGGAGGGAGGGTTGATTCCAATATCGTTGACGACCCTTGGGTTTACATTGGTCCTCCTCCTCCCCCTCCTCCTCCTCCTCCTCCTCCTCTGTGCTCGCCCCCTGCTCCTTTCCCCGCTTGTTTTTCTTGTCCCGCTCCTCCTCCTCCCGCCCGTCTCCTTCCCGCCCTCCCTTCGATGGCGGGCGGGGGGGGGGGGGGGGCGACGCCCCTCGCCATCGCTGTGGTTTTGACTTCCCCGAGGTGCTCGAGGAGCACCCAGAGCAGCCAGGTGGCCAGGGGCGGGACAAGGCAGGGAAACGGGCTTTGGGTGCAGATGGGGGGGAGACACGGAAGGACGGGCAAGCCGAAGTGGTCAGGCGGAGGAAGAGGAGAAGGAGAATGGGGAAGGAGGAGCAGGAGGAGTGGGAGGGAAGGCAGAGTGGGAAGGGGAGGAGGAGGAAGAGGAGGAGGAGGATAAGGATAAGGCTAATGATAAGGATAAGGATAAGGATAAGGAAGAAAAGGAGGAAGGAGGAAGGAGGAAGGAGGAAGCGAAGCTGACAATGGCGATCTCGATCGCGGCGGCGACGAGTCGACTACGGCGGCGCTGATCATGGATGTTGAGCACCTTATCCGATCGACTATCATTAGAATGGTCCCAATGTGCAGTCTAGGCGTTTCCGCCCGAACGCGGCCACACTGCCGTCAAGCGCCAGACAGGTTTGTGCCCTCATCGCGTCACGACGGCGAGGTCTGTCCCACGGGCTCCCCTTACCGTCAGCAGAAGGCCACTAAAGCTGGTTTGATGGGTCAGCAGTAGGGCCTCTGGTGCAAGACCGCCAGGGCGAACAGCGAGATCCAGGCCCCCTTCGTGAAGAAGGCCGGCCCAGAGAGGACCCAGGCGCAGCTCGACGTGGCAGGCTGCACCCCGTCAGGCTGACGAGTTCGTGCGACGTGCGGCCAGGAACGTTGGCGTAGCGTGCCTCCTCCTCATCATCATCATCATCATCCCTCCTCCTCCTCCTCCTCCTCCTCCTCCTCCTCCTTCTCCTCCTCCTTCTCCTCCTCCTCAATCTCCTCCTCCTCCTCCTCCACCTCCTCCTCCTCCTCCTCCTCCTCCTCCTCCTTCTGCTGCTCCTCCTCCTCCTCCTCCTCCTCGCGCTGCTGGCTTTGGCCCACCACCCTTCGGCGCGACACGCCATGCACGACTCAGTCCCCACCCCGAGCGTCCCCATTCCGAGCTCTTCCCAGCCTCCCGCTCCACGGAGCGGAGCGACACGCTATCCGCTCGCAGGGCATAGCGCGTCGCCGGGGCCGCCGCCGCGAGGCGCTGAGCAGAAGCTCCCGACCGTCGGCTGCGGCACCCTGGGCCACCGCGGTCGGCACGGAGGGGTACGTCCTGCTCCTGGGCGCGGATGCCTGCTCCGCCACTGCTGCCCCCGCCTGCTCGCCTTTCTGCCCCCCCCCTCTCCCTGCCCCGTCCTCTTGCTCGCCTCCGGGGCCACCCCTCCGTGGCCCCCTCACTTCGGCGGGGCATTTTTCCCAGCCCAGCTGGGGCCCGCTGCGGGCCACTGCTGCTCGCGGCGAGAGCACTGTCGGGCGCGAGGCCGTCCTCCGGGGCCCGCCGCTGCGTGGATATCAGCGAATTCCAGCGAGTCCTCTCCCGCTGCCCCCCCCCCCCCCGCCGGGTCCCCGCCCTCCTCACCCCCGCGGCCCCCCACTTGGCCGGCAAGCTCGGATCGGGGCCGCTCGGTCTTTGCGACACCTCTCGGCGGACCCCACAGCCAGGGATCCTGCGGCGACGCGTCCCCCTCAGGCGGCCTCCTGGGCCGCGGGCTCCAGGGAGTGCTGCCTGACGCCTGCGGCGCAGCCTCGGCTCACGCCGCGCAGGTGGAGCGAGCGCATCGTTCTCGAAGGCGGCGGAGGCGGAGGGCAGGGCTGAGGGAATGAGGTTTACAGGGCCGAGCCTGCTGCGGGAGGCAGGAGGCAGGAGGCCCGGCCAGGGCAGCGAGGCCCAGCCCGAGTCCAGGAGGAGGCGGCCTGGCAGAGGCATCGGAAACCAGGCATGGCCCCAACCACGCCTGGCCCACCAAAGCTGAAGGAACATGCTCTCGCTGAGCGCGGCGGCCTGGCGCGACAAGGTCTCCGCAGCATGCAAGGAGGTGCACACCATCCCCCCGAAGGACGTGTTCTTCGCAGTCGGCCAGACGATGTGCAACCTTATCCCGAGCGGCGTGACTGGCTGCTGCTGCGACCTTCCTTGAGATCCTACGCTGCAAAAATTAGCCTGGCGAAGGACCCGACCATATGCAGTTGTGAGCACTGTCGTTGTATGCACCGCATTCGGATGAGCTTCCTAGAAGACCACGAAACGTGTGAAGGGTGTGCCAAAATTTGTCCGGTGGGCGCATGCGAAAGCAGCCATTGGGGCCGTCGGTGGAACTCACTCTGGGGCATCGAAACGCGTGAGAGGTGTGCCGAAAGATGTGCGGTGGGCGCATGCGAACGCAGCCATTGGGGCCGTCGGTGGAGCTCCTTACGGTTCCGCGAAACGTGTGATGGGTGTGCCGAAATGAGTGCGGTGGGCGCATGCGAACGCAGCCACTGGCGCCTTCGGTGGAGCTCGCTATGTGGCCTTCGGTGGAGCTCCCTGTGGAGCCACGAAACGTGTGAGGGGTGTGCCGAAATGGGTGTGCGTGACGCATCCGGGCGGTGGCACTGGGGCCTTCGGTGGAGCTCCCTATGGGGACCACGAAACGTGTGAGGGGTGAGCCGAAATGGGTGTGCGTGACGCATGCGGGCGGTGGCACTGGGGCCTTCGGTGGAGCTCTCTCCCTGTAGGGCCACGAAACGTGTGAGGGGTGTGCCGAAATGGGTGTGCGTGACGCATGCGGGCGGTAGCACTGGGGCCTTCGGTGGAGCTCCCTATGGGGACCACGAAACGTGTGAGGGGTGTGCCGAAATGGGCGTGCGTGACGCATGCGGGCGGTGCAGGGAGGAGGGGAGGAGGAAGGAAGGAAGGAAGGAGGGAACGCGGGGACCGTCTCTTCAAAACGAGTACCCAACACCACAGGATGGTTGGGAAAAATGCAACATCGGCAAAAAATCACGACCAGAGCCCCAGACCCCATGCTTCTGCGTCGTTTTTCGAGCCAGGTCGATCTGTCAGGGTCCCGGGGCCCGAAATGGAGCGACGGCGCCGGTTGTGAAAGAAATTGCAACGCCAGGATCTCGGGGTCTTCGAGCGCAGCAGAGGCTCGAACACGTCTCCCCCTTGGGCGATGAGCGGCCTGCAGCGCTCGCTCTCTCGCTGGCCGGCGCGGCGGCGGCGGCGACCCACGAATGGCGGCGGGGAGCCGTGCCACCCCGCCGGTGCAGCGGCAGCCACGAGAGGGCGGCGGCGGCTGCGTCTCGATGCCGCAGCACGGCGCGACGGCCACCCTGCCGGGAAGGCGGCCCGAGCGGGGCGTCGGGAAGGCTTCTCCTCCTCCTCCTCCTCCGCCTCCTCCTCCGCCTCCTCCTCCTCCTCCTCCTCCTCCACCTCCTCCTCCTCCTCCTCCTCCTCCTCCTCCTCCTCCTCCTCCTCCTCCTCTGGCGGCGGCGGCGGCGCGCTCTGGCGCCGCCGTGGCGAGGAGGCCCGCGCCAGGGCGGCTCCTCGAGCCTTGCCGCCGATGGGGCTGGCGCTTGCGCTGGCGAGAGAGGCGCGTGGCTTTGCCCAGCCGTCCATCTCGGAGAAGGGGGAGGAGGTAGAGGAGGAGGAGGAGGAGGAGGAGGAGGAGGAGGAGGAAGAGGAGGAGGAGGAGGAGGAGGAGGAGGAGGAGGAGGGGGAGCTTACGCGCCGGCGGCGATTCCTCGCGCGGGTGCTCGGGGGCCCCCAGACGGTGCAGTGACCGCACCGCGCGGTGAGCCAGCGGCGATTCGGAGTCGCCGCAGGGTTTGGGGTCTCGGGTCGTTCTCCGAGGAAGTCTCGGGCGACCCTGGGCTTGCGGGCCCCCAAGACCGCGCGGTGACGGACCGCGTGGTGAGGTCATTCGGGATTCCGCGGACTCCGCGCGGCCCGTCACCACACAACTTCTGGGGGGCCTCAAGGGTGTGCGCGCCCGGCGCCGTGGGTGCTTCGGCGCCGTCGGTGCGGCATCCTGCGTGAGTGTTCACTGGTCAGCTCTGGCCTGCTCGACGCCACGCTGTGCGCCACCCCCGTCCGTCCCCCGCCCCGCCCTCCGTTCCGCGCTCGTGCGCACGCGGCGGCCGCAGGGGTGAGCCGCGCGGGGGCCGAGCGGGCGAGGGAGACGAGGGAGAGCGGGACGGAGGGAGGGAGGGAGGGAGGGAGCGGGAGGAGGGAGGGAGGGCGAGGGAGGGAGGGAGAGGGAGAGGGAGAGGGAGAGGGAGAAGGAGGGAGGGGGAGCGGGAGGGAGGGGGAGGGAGGGAGGGGGCCGTGGCGGAGGTCTGCGCCGCTTCTTGGGGGGGCCGCGTCTCGGATCGGAGCGTGTGCGGGCCCTGGCCCTGTGTGCTGCCGCCGCACGGGGCTCTCGCTGGCGTCGGGTGCAGGGGGCTCGAGGACCTTGGTCGGGTCTGCCCGCCAAGCTTCTGAATCACGTCGTGCCTGTCGCTTGCCAGTGGTGTTGCCGGACCCCGCTGGACAGAGCATCTGAAGGCAGTTCCTTCCAGGAGCAGCTTCGGGGAGCCTCTTGGACTGCCATCGTGGGAGAATGCTGTGATCGTGGGATTGATGTTTCAGCGCGTTGCACACGCTGTGGCCAAGCCGTTTTGCAAGTCGTGAGTAGTGTCACGACCTGTGCCTTCTGCCTGGCCCAATCTGCCGTGCTCAGTTCGCCCGGGCGTGTAGAGCTGCATACCAGAAGGCGGCGCATTGGGAGAAGCAGAGGAAGGAGGTGAAGGAGGAGCAGCAGCGGGAGGAGGAGGCCGCTGATATCAGCTCGCACGAACGCGAGGACAGCGAGGCAGGGTGGCAAGGGGGGAGGTGGGGAGTTGAAGTGGAACGCGGAAGCGAGGACGATGGAGATGGATGGAGAGGGAGGGCGGGAGGAGGAGGGAGGAGGGAGGAGGGAGGAGGGAGGAGGGAGGAGGAGGAGGAGGAGGAGGAGGAGGAGGAGGAGGAGGAGACAGAGGAGGACAGGAGAGGGAGGCCAGGGCACAGAGGTGGCCAGCCAGGAGAGGAGAGAGTTCACGCGTTGCAGGCGAGGGGGGGACCCAAGGAAAATGACGGTCGCAGCGCCTTGTCGCAAGAGTATCCTCCGCCCTCTTGGTTCCTCGGGGCCCTCGGCTCGATGTTTTCTTCGCGAATCCTCGCCCCATCTCCTCTTCGTGGGGCGCGCCCTTAGGTACATACTTCTACAGAAACGGGGAGACTGGCGAGGCCAGCTGGGAGCTCCCTGAGGTCCCTGATGGCGTCTCCCAGGCCGCCGAGGCGGGAAGGGACAAGGGTTCACATCCTTCCCCCTGCCGCTGCCTGTCTGCACGCTGAGGGAGCAGAGACCTGGAGCGCGATGAGGAGCGGGGTGTGGACGACAAACAGGCAAGGCTGGTCATGCACAAGGAGCAGCAGCAGCCGAGACCTCAGAGAGAGGGACGAGTGTGGGCTCCATCCGGTCTACCGTCTCGCGCCGCGCCGCCTGCTCGGACCCACCAAGCTTCGGCGCAGCACGCGAGCCACGTCCCCGCCCCCGAGCAGCAACGTCCCGAGCTCCGCCTGGCATCCCGCCCCGCGGAGCGGAGCGACGCGCTATCCGCTTCCTGGGCGTAGCGTGTCGCCGGAGCCGCCGCCGCGACACGATCAGCAGAAGCTCTTGACCGCAGCACGGCGCGACGTCGAGCGGGCGTCGAGAAGCGCAAGGGCTCGGGCTGTGGATCCGATGGGTCAGGGCCGTGGTCCAGATGGGCGGCTTTTGTTTTGTTTAAGAGGTTTACGCCGTTCCGCCAACCCCCAGAAGAGGAGCCGTGCGGCTTCCGATTTCGCGTGTGCTATTTGACACTTCCCGTCGTGCTGCCCCCGTGCGCTTGTTGCCGATTCGTTATCATCTTCCTCCGCGTATGTCGCGGGTCTTCTTGGGAGCTTCTTGGGGGCTTAGGGGGCGGCCTCTTGGACCTTTGTTCAAGGCTCCTGGGATCTTTCTGGGGCCCTCTGGGGTCTTCTTGGAGGCATATTGTTGGGTCTTGAGAGCCATCTTGTGGGCGGTGACTCCCAAGATCTCTGCAGATTCCCCTTCTTGAGCCTCGGGCCCCTCCTGGGGCCTTCTTGGGTCGTCTTGGGCCTGTCTGGGGAGGCCTCTCGCGCCGCTTTGGGCTTGCAGACGCCCGAAAGGGCGAGAATGTGAGAATGATTCAAAACCCTATGACAAACCAATGGTCTTGTTTGCGTATGGGCGCCCTCTTGGGGGTCCGTTCGGGGCCTTCTTTCTGCGTCTTGGCTGGGGCGTCTCTGAGGTCTCTCCGGTGCCTTGGAGCCCTTCTGGAGCCGTTTCTGAAAGCATCTTGGGCCCTGGGCATCTTGGCGGCCGCGGAAGGCCGATTCTGAGGGGGAGAGGGGCCGAGGTGCGCTGGCGAGCTCGTGCCCCCGCCCCACCGCCATCCCCCATCGAATGGGAGTTTGAACCCCAGGGGAGGGGAAAGGAAGAGGGGTGACAGTCAATCAACTCACGCGCTTCTTCACCCCTGGCATGCGGGGGTCGGCGGGTTTTTCTGAGAGAGGTTCCTACACATGTTGCTGAAACTGGTCATGTGGCGGCTCGCTCGGCCAATCCTGGTTCTGTTTGGCATTATGCAGGGTTGGACGAAGGCTTGGGGGCAGAGCAAGCTGATGTTAGCGCTAGCCCAGCCTAGTTCAAGCATTAGTTACAGCAACGTTTCAGCTTGGCGGGCCAGGTGTGTTGGTCTAGCTGCTGCTCAGCTTTATGTTGGGTGGCCGTTCTGCGGTAGCTCGGGCTTCTGTTTAGGATTGCAGTGATAGATTGCGTGTCAAGCGTGTCCTCCAGGCTCTGCGAGGCGTGCGCGGTGGGACGTGGCAGGCTCCTCTCACGGCCGCTTGTGGCAGCCCCGCTGACATTGGAGTACCGCTGTTCAAGCTGCCCTGGGCCAGTGCTTGCCGACTTGTTCAGGTGTTGCGAGTTGTCGGTCAAGCGAGGGCATCTGCGCTTTCTCCTCGGGTTTTCTTGACGCAGGGGGGGCATCGGCAGTTCAGGCCGACGACTGGTAAGTCCACGTTGCCGCCGCATTGGGACCATGGCTTGACGCGGGGGTGGCACGATTATGCTGCGGTAGCGTTACGCGAATGTTCCCTGCAAGCGTACCGTTCGCATGCGAGCGCCTACTGGACAGGACACAGCATGAGATGCGAGGCTCCCAGTGGGTAGCTGAGAACACATGCTCTCGATTAGAAATGACCGGTGGTTCGAACGGCTCTTCCAATGTGAACATGCCGGCTGTTGCACAGATTTATGTGTTTCACGTGTCAGAGGTTCGCACAATCGTAAAAGTGAACTCGCTGTGAACTGACCTACCGAAAGGCCTTGCGCGGAGAGGGCGGATGGGAATGCATTCACAAGCGAACGAGCTTTGCGCGGAAGCTCAGCCCGCTCCTCGCCATCCTTTCCTCCTCCGTTACCTTCCTGCCGCCACCACCACGGTCGCCGCAGCCGCCACCTCCAACAGTAGCGCCACCGTCCCCACAAACGTGCGTGCGGGGTGGAGGGGAGAAACAGAAAGTAGGCCTCCGCCTCCGCCTCCGCCTCCTCTTCCTCCTCCTCCTCCGCCTCCGCCTCCGCCTCGGGCATCCTGGGCGGCCCTCTTCCGGGACAGGGCAGGACAGGGCTGAGAATGGCTCATTCTCCTCCCCCGCGTCCCCCCTTCCCTCCCTCCCTCTCTCCCTCACCCGCATCGCATGCAGAGATCCCTCCCTCCCTACCTCCCTCCCTCCTCTCCCCCACTCCCTCTTCTCCCTCACATTCACTCCCTCCCTCCATCCCTCACGCCCCTGCCTCGCCCTAAGCACGCAGAAAAGCAGAGGCGGACAGCGGAGATGGCAAGCGCAGCGGGGCCAGCGGTTGCACAGGCCGTGGAGACCGCGGAGGCCACGGAGTCCTCACAGCAGACAGCGAAGTCCCCAAGAAGAAAGCGTGCAAGGCCAGCGACGGCGACGGAGGCCACGGCGGAGGCGCCGAACGCCGCAAACGCACAAACCATCCCGCTCGACAGTCTTTTGGCCCTCAGTGATTCTGAGACGGTCGGGAACTGCCAAGTATGTTTTGAAACCACAGATCCTCACGCCGCGGACCCACCCGCAGAGCACATGGGTCATACGTTCACACTTCCTTGCTGGTGCCGTTGTTGTTGATGATGATGGTGATGATGATGAGTATGACGTTGATATGTTGGTCGAATGCTATACCGAAGCATCGGGCAGTGACTTGTGCGAGCTCGGCGGGGACTTTGCACGACCCCCGCTGCACTGTGCTGGGCGGATTCAAGCCTGGGGGCGGCACGGAGCAAAACATAGTACAATATTGGTGTTGCGCAGAATGGGATTTGTTTGACACATTGTATGGGATTTTCATAACACTGATTGGAGACATGTTTGAGGCCGATCTGAAATCTACGTGGTACATATGTGCTACTTGTGAGTGAAATAGTTGAGACCTATATGAAACCTAGCTGCGCCCCATTTAAGACCTAGTTGAGACCCATTTGAAACCGATGTGAGGCCGATGTGGGACCCATGTTGAGACTGATTCTGGATATGTACGACAATTGGGACAAATTCGTTGTGACACCTGTTTGGGACCGGGTTGAAACATATGTGATCTTTGTTGAAACATGGTTGGCTTTGAAGTATCGGTTCTACATTGTTGAGACACGCTTGAAGCCTACATGGAACCTTTTTTAAGCCTATGCGACGAATATATAATACATACATAAGTGGTTGCTGATATTCACCAGGCACGTATGTGAAACCTATTCGAAATTCACGTGAAGCCTACTTGAGACTTGCGCGAGACCCATAGGGGACCTGATGATGTGCTCGCTGCAGACGCTATACCGAAGTATCGGGCTGTGACTTTTGCGAGCTCGGCGGGGACTTGCACGACCCCCGCTGCACCCTTGCTGTGCTGAGCGGGTTCGAACCTGAGGGCCACGCAACAAAACATGTTACAAGACTGGGCTTTGCGCAGAATGAGATCCGTTCGAGGCCTACAACCACCAGCCTACCGCATCCAACCTCCATCCCCTCCCTGTTCAGGGCGACGAGCCTTGTCAACGAATGACGGTCCCCGAGCTTCTGGCTCGCTCTGGGATTGTGCTCCGACATTCCGGACCACTTGGCACTCAGGCGGCCCAAGACCTCAGGGGCATTCGGATAGTGCCACACACGGTATAGTGGAAGTACTACATGATCAACCCTTGATGGCATCGGCCCAACATAGTTCGACTGCTGGACAAGACGGGGTAAGACTACTACGAGAAAGGGCTTCAGTGATTGAAGAGCTCGTGCCAGCCGTCAAGTTTCGCTGAACGAAGTCCGCAGCGTGGTTTGTTGCCACATCTGCATTGCTGCACAGACGAAGACACCTCGATACAATCGCTGCCAACCACGCCCTGTGCACCGATGGATGGCGCACGGCATTACCACGCAATGAACGTCATTATGATGAACGCTTCACGTACACCCGATGATCCAAAGTGCCGCTCGAGAATCACCTCGCCTGTGCAATCCTCATCCATGAAAGGAACCTCCTGCGAGCTCGCACTCTCGAGTTCTACAGCGAATGGCCTCGCAAAAGTTGATAACTCTTTCCAAGAAACGATACCTGTCGTGCTGGGAGCCGTCAAGCAGCCAAAAGCGCCATTCTTGAACGGAAATATGCTGAAGCGTTAATCGTTCTCGTATATTCGTCATTGTGCGCCCAGTGATTCTTTGCTAGATGGTTAAAAGAAGCATCAGAGACTTCTCCAGGGCAAATCCTGCCCACGCCATTTGCCACAGTTCCACATGGTCACAACCAGGAACCATTACATATTGGCTTGCTAAAAACATGTAATGTAAGCCAGGGCTGCTCATGTTCATCACCACGGAGCAATCGAGAAGATTCGGTATTCAATACGTCATGGTTGCTATTCATGAAATATTCTTTCGCGTCAATGTTTTCATGATCAGGTTCGCGTTGAACTGCACAGCGCGAAATTAGCGCAAGAAATGTGAAGAATCAGGGACCAGGTGGCACGGCCCCCAGTGGGTGGCAGATGACATTTGTTTGAATGATGATTCGAACGGCTCCTCCACTGTGAGCATGCCAAGCGTGGCGCATGTCTATGTATTTCACCTTCAAGGGCCCACACAATCGTCAAAGTGGCCTCGCTGCGAACTGCCCTATTAACAGGTCTTGCGCGGTGGGGTGGATCGGAATGCATGATAGCACGCTCCTCGCCATACCCCGTCCCTATCAAGCGGCGGAGGCAGGTGGACACCCCTTCCTCCTTGAGAAAGGCGGGGAGGGTAGGACCGCATGACGGACCAATCGCAAGCCGGCGATACCAATTCCATCCGTCCGTGCCTATTTCTCAACCGGCCGAATAGACGACGAATATCAATTACAACCAGCCGTCTTAAGCCCGGCATTAGAATTATGATTGTGGAGTATTCTGAGATTACAGATGCAGCTCTTAAATGGAAGCGTCTGCCTTGGCAGACACCATGAGTGACAGAGTTGGAGTTGGCACCACCTTGCGTCCTTACGCATGCGAGTTGGAGTGTTGAAAATGAGCAGTGGTCCTCAGTTTTACTGGAGCTCCACGGTTATCGTCTAAAACCTGCACTGATTTCACAAGACAGCTGTATAATGCTTCGTGCTACTTAGTTCCCATCTGAACATTGCACAACTTCGATGCAAGAGCTCTGAGTGTTTCATAAGCGGTCAACGCAATACTCACAGGTGGAGTGTGGACATCCGTAAGGGATGTGTACAATTCTGCATGAGAAGTGCAGACTGTCCATATGATCGGCATGGTTCTTAGATGAGGAAAAACAAGAGTCCAGATTCAGCGCGCGCAGCTTACACAAGGGAGCTGTTAACGCGGACCCGCTGCAACTTGCACATGACATGTTGTGTTTTCTCACTTGAGTGTTGCATCGTTTCCAAGAACGTTCTGGGATCCAGTACACATTACACATTGATTTGCACACTGTACGAAAACATGTTGTACATCGCACTTGTTCTTTCACGTTGAATGTTCCCCAGAATCGTGCAAGAATAGTTCAGGATTCCCGCACGGAATCTCTTAGGGATTCTGTCAGGATTGTTCAGGGATCCCGCAAGAATATTTCAAAGATGGTGCAATAATCTCCCAGGGATGGCGTCAGAATTCTTCCAGAATCAACCTTCCTTGTGTTTGCAATGATTTCCCAGGGAACCTGTAAAGATCTTTCAGGAGTTTTGTAAGAATGTCTCTGGGGTCCTGTAAAGATCTCTGGAGGTCCGTGTACGGATCTCTCAGGGATCCCGTAAATTTACGTCGGGGGATTTGTAGGGATTTTGCAGGGGTCGCGTAAGGATACCCCTCGGATCTTCTAAAGATGGGTACCCCAGGGATCCCGTAAGGATAACTCAGGGACCCCGTAAGGATACGTCACGGATTATGTAAGGATGTTCCATGGATCCAGTAAGGACGCTTCTTCGACCTTGTAAGGATACGTATGGGATGCTGTAGGAATCTCCCGCGAATCTTGAAAACGCTCCAAGATCGCTCGGGGCGGCTGGAGTTGGCGGGAAATCGTTGGAACCCGTTCCAAGTTTGTGTGTTGTCCCAGTTTCGGGTTCGACCCCGCCCTCCCCTTGTTGCGCCCGAGAGGCGGGGAGGGTCAACCACCCATGCGCGCCTGCTCGGTGGCGGACGAGGTGGGACGGGGTGCGCTCCAGCGCATAGGATGGAATGCCAAAGTTAATGTGTTGAGGATCGGGTTAGGCTGTTTGGATTCGGATGAGAGGGGTAGGGTGTTCAGGTTAGGCGGCTTCGGTCTAGGGTGCTCAGGGTTAGGGTCAGGGTGCGATGGTTAAGGTGTTCGGGTTAGGGGTAGCTCGTCAGGGTATTAGAATTAGGGCGCTAGCGTGTTAGGGACCGAAATAGCGCGTTAGGATTAGGCTGTTACGGTTAGGTTGTTCGGCTTAGGGTGCATAGGATTAGGGTTTGAGTGTTAGGGTTCGAATGTGGGTGCTCGCGTCTTAGGGTTAGGCGGCTGGGACTTCGGGGATGAGGGGTCGGGCGTCAAGGTGTTAAGTTTTGGGCGTCGGGGTGATAGGGTTAGGGCTCTAATGTGTTAGGGTCAAGGTGTTAAGATGTTAGGGCTAGGGTGCTTAGGGCTAGGGTTTGGATGCTGGGGCTAGAGTTAGGGCATTCGGGTGCTAGGGTTGAGGTGTTTCGGGTGTTATGGAGTTCAGGGTTCGGGCGAAGGGGGGGATTCAGACGTCAGAGCTAGCGTGTTAGGTTTAGGGTGTTAGGGTTCGATAGCTAAGGTAAGGGTTGGAGCGTCAGGGCTTCAGCTAGAGCGCCAAGTGTCAGCATGATGGTGCTCAGGGTGAGGCTGTTGGGATTAGGGCGGTAGGGTTGGGATGTTAGGGTTGTGTTTTGGGTATTACGGTTAGGGTGTGACTGGTACGGTGTCGGGGTTACGATGTTTGGGGTTCGGGTGTCAGGGCGCGGGTTTGGGCGTTAGGTTGTAAGGGTGTTAGGGTGTCCTGGTCATGGTGCTAGGATGAATGTGCCAGTGTGTTAAGGATCATCTTAGGGTACTCGGATTAGGGTGGTAGGGTGGTAGGGTGGTAGGGGGTGGGTATCAAGGTCAGGTGCTTAGTTGTTAGCGGTTAGGGTGCTACGAGTCGGCGTGTTAGGGGTGGGATGCTCGGGGTAGGGTGTCAGGTGTTAGTGCTGGGATGTTCAGAGAAAGAGCGGGGGGAGAGGGGGGGTGCTCCGTAAAGGGCCAGAGAGCTGGGCCCATAAGGGGGTGAAGGGTGTGATTCCCCTAGCCACACCCCCTCCCCTTTGGACGAGAGGGGAGGGGGGGGGGATGATGGTTCGGAAAGGGGGGTGGTCCAGGATGGTGGGCCGGGACAAAAGGGGGAGCGGGGGTCCCCCCCTCTTGGGGGGAACCAGCGGCGTGCCCTACATGAGTACCATATTGCTTGATTGCCGTACTACGTTATAGTGTGTGTGTTCTTGTTTGGCTTACATCTTGGATTTGTCGTATGCCTTTAATGTGTGCCTGGCATGCATTATGTTGCACTCCTACTTGCCTGCTGACCTGTATGTTCCCTTCTGTTTACCGTGGCAATGCGCCAAAGCCTGCTTGTGTTTACCAGAAGGGGGCGGGGGAGAGGGGGGGCAAGAGGAGGATGGGGTGGTGGCGGAGAGAGAAAAAATGGAGAGGAGGGGGAGAGCAGGGGAGTGGGCGAGAGGGGGGAAGAAGCGAGAAGGAAGGTGGGGGGACCACAGGGTGCAAAGCAGGGCGTGGCAACTCAGGGGCAAGGCGAGACCAGGCCGTGACGGCGCAGAGCGCGGCAAGGCAAGGGCAGGCGGGACATGGGAAGGACAGCCGCTACGCAGCAGAGCACGGCAAGCCAGGACGGGACAGCTCGAGGCCAGGCGGAGCAAGGCAAGACACATCGTGGTCATACAGGGCCAGCGCGCATCCAAGGCAGGGCAGGGCGCGGCGAGGCGAGGCGAAGCAGCACAGAGAAAGGTGCGGCGCGGCACGGAGGCGAACCACGGCGGCAGCGCGCAGCCCGCAGGCAGGCAGGCGGGCCGGATCGAGGCAGCGCGGGACGAGCCGGAGCAGGGCGCGACGAGCCCCATCGGAGGGCCGTGGCAGCGAGGCGGGACGAGGCGAGGAGCACCGCACAGGCTGGCGGCGCAGAGCGCGGAGGCGGCCGAGGCGGGGCAGAGGGCAGAGGGCAGCGGGCAGCGGCCGGGCGAGGCGGAGGGCGCGCAGGGCAGGGCCCGGCCGGGTCGGGGAAGGCCCGGGCGGGGCGCGGGGAGGGCGCGGCGTTGCAGGGCAGGGCAGGGCAGGGCAGGGCCGGGCGCGAGGCGTGGGCAGGCGAGGCGGAGCAAGGCGAGGCAGGGCACAGCGGGCCTGGCCGAGCAGCGCGCGGGCCAGGCAAGTCGGGGCAAGGTGGAGCGCGGCGCGCCGGGCTTGCGGAGCAAGAGGGAGGCTCATGATGGTAGGGATCGCGCCTGGATCGCTCGGAAGCCTGGGGCGCCGCCGCAGTTTCGGCCACGCGGTCAGGACATGCTCGTCAGAACAAGTCATTTGCGACGCACCGAGTTCATGACGCACCTGCGCACCGAATATATGTTGCGCACCGATTATGTAGCGCACCGTTTCTTTGACGCGCCGAACGCCATGATGCACCGATTCGGTGATGCATTGTTGCCGTGGCGCAGCGAGTCCGTGACGCACCAAGCCCAGCGATTCCGCGGTGCGTCGATGCATGGGCACACCCAAAAACGGATGCCAGAATTCCGCTGATGCTAAGTTTGATCTCTTATCGCCGAGCGCGTTCCACTACTCGCGAAGTGCCTACTCGCAAACGTCCGACAAAAACCACGTTCGCCTCGATGTAATATATCGTGAACCCCATACGGCGCGTCCAGGCCATTTGCGAGTAGTGACTTTGCGAGCAGCGGAACGCGCTTGTCTATCTTAGTGGATGTTAGGTGATTGGGTGCTTGGTGTTCCGCTGATCTCTGCATGCATGTTTGGTTTGTGTTCGCCTGCCCCGCCCATGGGTTCTGCCCTCTGGTCCAGAAAGGTTGCCAGCGAAGTCATCCTCCTCCCCCTCATCCCCCTCATGCCCCTCCTCCTCCTCCTCCTCCTCCTCCTCCCGCTTGGGCATCCTTGCCCGCAGAGGAGCTGGCATCCATTATCCCACATGTCTGGCCTGCCACGCAGGTTTTTTATCCTTCGTCGCCCATGATCTGCATACTAGAACCGCGCGCGCGTCGCGCGCACGCTTAGGTTCTAGCGGCTAGCCTCGACAAACGACAGACGAATATCAAATCCCATGGTAGTCACCATGTGGAGGCACCAGGGCAGCCTCAGAAATGAGAGCAGCACGGGGTACGCTTGCACGTGCTGCTTCAAGGCCTTGGGGTCGCCAAGAGCACGGACTGGGAATGAGAAACATAGCCTTGGGAAAGGGTTGAGAGCTCTGGGCATCCATGGATCGAAGAAATCTCATGGCGCCAACATCTCAGAGCGGATATCGTTCGGAAAACGATATGATGGGCTCGGAGTGTCACCTCGAATTTCGTTCCGGATTTCGAGGTGAATTTCGTGCGGATGTGTTGTTTGGCCAGGGATGAAGACTACAAGAAATCCACGCGGAATTTACTCCGTTTCTCACTCGCCGCTTCGGGGTTTCCTAGTAACAGAAATCCGCGCCAGAAGCCGCTGCAGCACCTCTGCAAGGTCGGTGCACTGAGAAATCGCAGCATCGGAGGTGGGTTGGACCGCGGCCTGAGGCCTGCACCCTGCGGCACCACCGGCCTCCACCCGGAGGCCTGCACCCGCGGCCTGAGGCCTGCACCCTGAGGCCTGCACCCTGCACCCGGAGGCCTACACCCTGAGGCCTGCACCTTGCACCCCAGGCCTGCACCCTGCGGCATCATCCGGGGCCACCTCTGGCAGATCTGGGGCCGCCCTGGACGCCGGCGTTGACCCTTCGCTGGAGGCCAGCTTGTCTCCGCCAGCTTCAGGCGCAGACTCTCTGCGTCTGAGGCCTCCTCCTCCTCCTCCTCCTCCTCCTCCTCCTCCTCCTCCTCCTCCTCCTCCTCCTCCTCCTCCTCCTCCTCCTCCTCCTCCTCCTCCTCTCTTCCTTCTGCATCTGTATTCCCATTTCCCCTTCGCAGTCCACAGGCTCACGGAACGCGTCAGCGACCGCCCGCCAGCTTAGCATTGCGGCATTGCGGGCCAAAAAAATGTTCACCAGCTTCCGCCAGCTTCCGCTGGCCACACCGCCCTCGCCGGCTGTTGCACAGATCTATGTGCTTCACGTGTCAGAGGCTCGCACAATCGTAAAAGTGAATTCGCTGTGAAGTGACCTACCGAAAGGCCTTGCGCGGAGAGGGCGGATGGGAATGCATTCACAAGCGAACGAGCTTTCCGCGGAAGCTCAGCCCGCTCCTCGCCATCCTTTCCTCCTCCGTTACCTTCCTGCCGCCACCACCACGGTCGCCGCAGCCGCCACCTCCAACAGTAGCGCCACCGTCCCCACAAACGTGCGTGCGGGGTGGACGGGAGAAACAGAAAGTAGGCCTCCGCCTCCGCCTCCTCTTCCTCCTCCTCCTCCGCCTCCGCCTCCGCCTCGTGCATCCTGGGCGGCCCTCTTCCGGGACAGGGCAGGACAGGGCTGAGAATGGCTCATTCTCCTCCCCCGCGTCCCCCCTTCCCTCCCTCCCTCTCTCCCTCACCCGCATCGCATGCAGAGATCCCTCCCTCCCTACCTTCCTCCCTCCTCTCCCCCACTCCCTCTTCTCCCTCACACCCACGCCCTCCCTCCATCCCTCACGCCCCTCCCTCGCCCTAAGCACGCAGAAGAGCAGAGGCGGACAGCGGAGATGGCAAGCGCAGCGGGGCCAGCGGTTGCACAGGCCATGGAGACCGCGGAGGCCACGGAGTCCTCACAGCAGACAGCGAAGTCCCCAAGAAGAAAGCGTGCAAGGCCAGCGACGGCGACGGAGGCCACGGCGGAGGCGCCGACCGCCGCAAACGCACAAACCATCCCGCTCGACAGTCTTTGGGCCCTCTGATTCTGAGACGGTCGGGAATTGCCAGGTATGTTATGGAACCATGGATGATCGCGCCGCGGACTTCGGTTTCCGAGCCACCCGCAGAGCACATGGGTCATACGTTCACACTTTCTTGATGGTGCCGTTGTCGTTGATGATGATGGTGATGATGATGAGTATGACGTTGATTTGTTGGTCGAATACTATACCGAAGCATCGGGCAGTGACTTGTGCGAGCTCGGCGGGGACTTCGCACGACCCCCGCTGCGCTGTGCTGAGCGGAATCAAGTTTGGGGGCGGCACGGAACAAAACATAGTACAATATTGGCGTTGCGCAGACTGGGATTTGTTTGACACATTGTATGGGATCTTCATAATACTGATTGGACACATGTTTGAGGCCGATCTGAAATCTACGTGGCACATATGTGCTACCTGTGCGTGAAATAGTTGAGACCTATATGAAACCTAGTTGCGGCCCATTTCAAACCTAGTTGAGACCCATTCGAAACCGATGTGAGGCCGATGTGGGACCTATGTGAAGACTGGTTCTGCATATGTACGACCTTTTAGACACATTCGTTGTGACACCTGTTTGGGACCGGGTTGAAACATATGTGATACTTTGTTGAAACATGGTTGGCTTTGAAGTATCGGTTCTACATTGTTAACACGCTTGAAGCCTACGTGGAACCTTTTTTAAAGCCTATGCGACGCATATATGGTACATACATGAGTGGTTGCTGACATTCACCAGGCACGTATGTGAAGCCTATTCGAAGTTCACGTGAAGCCTACTTGAGACTTGCGCGAGACCCATAGGAGACCTGATGACGTGCTCGCTGCAGACGCTATACCGAAGTATCGGGCTGTGACTTTTGCGAGCTCGGCGGGGACTTGCACGACCCCCGCTGCACCCTTGCTGTGCTGAGCGGTTTCGAACCGGAGGGCCACGTAACAAAACATGTTACATTGCTGGTCTTTGCGCAGAATGAGATCTGTTCGAGGCCTACAACCACCAGCCTACCGCATCCAACCTCCAGCCCCTCCCTGTTCAGGGCGACGAGCCTTGTCAACAAATGACGGTCCCCGAGCTTCTGGCTCGCTCTGAGATTGTGCTCCAACATTCCAGACCACTTGGCACTCAGGCGGCCCAAGACCTCAGGGGCATTTTGATAGTGCCACACGCGGTATAGTGGAATTACTACATGATTAATCCTTGCATGCATTGGCCCAACATAGTTCGATTGCTGGACAAGACGGAGTAAGACTACTACGAGGAAGGGCTTCAGTGATTGAAGAGCTCGTGCCAACCGTCACGTTTCGCTGAACGGAGTCCGCATCGTGGTTTGTTGCCACATCTGCATTGCTGCACAGACGAAGACACCTCGATACCATCGCTGCCAACCACGCCCTGTGCACCGATGGATGGCGCACGGCATTATCACGCAATGAATGTCATTATGATGAACGCTTCACGTACACCCGATGATCCAAAGTGCCGCTCGAGAAGACACCTCGCCTGCGCGATCCTCATCCATGAAAGGAACCTTCTGCGAGCTCGCACTCTCGAGTTCTACAGCGAATGGCCTCGCGAAAGTTGATAAATCTTTCCAGAAACGATACCTGTCATGCTGGGAGCCGTCAACGAGCCAAAAGTGCCGTTCTTGAACGGAAATATGTTGAAGCGTCCATCGTTCTCGTATATTCGTCATTGTGCGCCCAGTGATTCTTTGCTAGATGGTTAAAAGAAGCATCAGAGACTTCTCCAGGGCAAATCCTGCCCACGCCCTTTGCCACAGTTCCACATGGTCACAACCAGGAACCATTACATATTGGCTTGCTAAGAAAAATTGTACTGTAAGCCGGGGCTGCTCATGTTCATCACCACGGAGCAATCGAGAAGATTCGGTAGTCAATACGTCGTGGTTGCCATTCACGAAATATTCTTTCGCGTCAATGTTTTCATGGTCAGGTTCGTGTTGAACTGTACAGCGCGAAATTGGCGCAAGAAATGTGAAGAATCGGGGACCAGGTGGCACGGCCCCCAGTGGGTGGCAGATGACATTTGTTTGAATGATGATTCGAACGGCTCCTCCACATTGAGCATGCCAAGCGTGGCGCATGTCTATGTGTTTCACCTTCAAGGGCCCACACAATCGTCAAAGTGGCCTCGCTGTGAACTGCCCTATTAACAGATCTTGCGCGGGGGGGGGGATCGGAATGCATGATAGCCCGCTCCTCGCCATACCCCGTCCCTATCAAGCGGCGGAGGCAGGTGGACACCCCTCTCTCCTTGAGAAAGGCGGGGAGGGTTGGACCGCATGACGGACCAATCGCAAGCCGGCGATACCAATTCCATCCGTCCGTGCCGATTTCTCAACCGGCCGAACAGACGACGAATACCAATTACAACCGGCCGTCTTAAGCCCGGCATTAGAATTATGATTGTGGAGTATTTTGAGATTACAAATGCAGTTCTTAAATGGAAGCGTCTGCCTTGGCAGACACCATGAGTGACAGAGTTGGAGTTGGCACCACCTTGCGTCCTTACGCATGCGAGTTGTAGTACTCACAGGTGGAGCGTGGACATTCGTAAGAGATGTGTACAATTCTGCATGAGAAGCGCAGACTGCCCATATGATCGGCATGGTGATCAGATGAGGAAAATCAAGAGTCCAGATTCAGCGCGCGCAGCTTGCACAAGGGAGCTGTTAACGCGGACCCGCTCCAACTTGCACATGGCATGTTGTGTTTTCTCACTTGAGTACTGCATCGTTTCCAAGGACGTTCTTGGATCCAGTACATATTACACATTGATTTGCACACTGTACGAAAACACTTTGCACATTGCAATTGTTCTTTAACGTTGAATGTTTTCCAGAATCGCGCAAGAATATTTCAGGAATCCCGCACGGAATCTCTTAGGGATTCTGTCAGGATTGTTCAGGGATCCCGCAAGAATCTTTCCAAGATGGTGCAATAATCTCCCAGGGATGGCGTCAGAATTCTTCCGGAATCAACCTCCCAGGTTTTGAAATGATTTCCCAGGGTTCTTGTACAGATTTTTCATGAGTTTTGTAAGAATCTCTATGGGGTCCTGTAAAGATCTCTGGAGGTCCGTGTACGGATCTTTCAGGGATCCCGTAGATTTACTTCGGGGGTCCTGTAGGGATCTTGTAGGGGTCGCGCAAGGATACCTCACGGATCCTGTAAAGATAGGTACCCCAGGGATCCAGTAAGGATAATTCAGGGATCCTGTAAGGATATGTCACGGATCCTGTAAGGATGTTCCATGGATCCAGTAAGGACACTTCTTCGACCTTGTAAGGATACGTATGGGATGTTTTAGGAATCTCCCGCGAATCAAGATCGCTCGAGGCGGCTGGAGTTGGCGGGAAATCGTTGGAACCCGTTCCAAGGTGATTGTATGTTGCCCCAGTTTCGGGTTCGACCCCGCCCTCCCCCTTTTGCGCCCGAGAGGCGGGGAGGGTAAACCACCCATCCGCGCCTGCTTGATGGCGGACGAGGTGGGACGGGGTGCGCTCCAGCGTATAGGATGGAGTGCCAAAGTTAAGGTGTTGAGGATCGGGTTGGCTGTTTGGGTTCGGATGAGAGGGGTAGGGTGTTCAGGTGAGGCGGCTTCGGTCTAGGGTGCTCAGGGTTAGGGTCAGGGTACGATGGTTAGGGTGTTCGGGTTAGGGGTAGCTCGTCAGGGTATTAGGATTAGGGCGCTGGCGTGTCAGGGACCGAAATAGCGCGTTAGGATTAGGGTGTTACGGTTAGGATGCTCGGCTTAGGGTGCACAGGACTAGGGTTTGAGTGTTAGGGTTCGCATGTGGGTGTTCGCGTCTTAGTGTTAGGCGGCTGGGACTTCGGGGATGAGGGGTCGGGCGTCAAGGTGTTAAGTTTTGGGCGTCGGGGTGTTAGGGTTATGGCTCTAATGTGTTAGGGTCAAGGTGTTAAGATGTTAGGGCTAGGGTGCTTAGGGCTAGGGTTTGGATGCTGGGGCTAGAGTTAGGGCATTCGGGTGCTAGGGTTGAGGTGTTTCGGGTGTTATGGAGTTCAGGGTTCGGGCGAAGGGGGGGATTCAGACGTCAGAGCTAGCGTGTTAGGTTTAGGGTGTTAGGGTTCGATAGCTAAGGTAAGGGTTGAAGCGTCAGGGCTTCAGCTAGAGCGCCAAGTGTCAGCATGATGGTGCTCAGGGTGAGGCTGTTGGGATTAGGGCGTTAGTGTTGGGATGTTAGGGTTGTGTTTTGGGTATTATGGTTTGGGTGTGACTGGTACGGTGTCGGGGTTACGATGTTTGGGGATCGGGTGTTAGGGCGCGGGTTTGGGCGTTAGGGGTGTTAGGGTGTCATGGTCATGGTGCTAGGATGAATGTGCCAGTGTGTTAAGGATCAGATTAGGGTGCTCGGGTTAGGGTGGTAGGGTGGTAGGGGGTGGGTATCAAGGTCAGGTGCTTAGTTGTTAGCGGTTAGGGTGCTACGAGTCGGCGTGTTAGGGGTGGGATGCTCGGGGTAGGGTGTCAGGTGTTAGTGCTGGGATGTTCAGAGAAAGAGCGGGGGGAGAGGGGGGGTGCTCCGTAAAGGGCCAGAGAGCTGGCGCTCATCTGGGCCCAAAAGGGGGTGAAGTGTGTGATTCCCCCAGCCACACCCCCTCCCCTTTGGACGAGAGGGGAGGGGGGGGGGGATGATGGTTCGGAAAGGGGGGTGGTCCAGGATGGTGGGCCGGGACAAAAGGGGGAGCGGGGGTCCCCCCCTCTTGGGGGGAACCAGCGGCGTGCCTTACATGAGTACCATATTGCTTGATTGCCGTATTACGTTATAGTGTGTGTGTGTGTGTTCTTGTTTGGCTTACATATTGGATTTGTCGCATGCCTTTAATGTGTGCCTGGCATGCATTATGTTGCACTCCTACTTGCCTGCTGACCTGTATGTTCTCTTCTGTTTACCGTGGCAATG